AATTTAATGATGAAAAGGAGAATTGCAACTGTAAAACCAGTTGCAGAGTTGGAAGTAGAGCATTTTACAACCCCAGACTTTGTTATAATTTTTTAAATACTCGGATTCTGATATTTATTAATCAATTCTAGAGATACAAGCCTGGCAAGCTTTAAGGGGCAACACTTCACAATAATCTACTTGTATAATGAAATAGACTGTCATGGTTTGAGAGCCCCAAAATCCAATTCCCTAGTTCTAGCCCCCCTCCCACATCTCAACCCAGTGTGAGATGGGTTTTCCAGACACCACACGAGACTCAAAATGGGGGGGAAGGGAATATATATTACAATACACTGTACAAAATAAATAGTATAATACATCACATACAATCTCAACTATCTCTACCATGACATACAGTATTTACAGTGGATCAAATCACTTCTCCCTTCCAAATAAAAGTCCAGGAGGGAAGAAGGGAAAGATCCTTTCATCTCTCTTAGCAGCAGTCCCTCTAAGGCAGCAGTTTCTCTCTGTCTTCCATGCAGCAGCTGTAGCTGGATCTTTGCCAGTACACACGAGGGGATATCCAGGCCCCTCGGCCCTTCGTCTCCAAATGAACGTCTCCTCTTCCGTGGGCTGCGTAGCAGAGACAAGACTCGCTTCACCACGTCATATCATGGGGTGTAAGACCCCCATGAAGGTCCCTTCCTCAGGGGATTCACCCCTGAGTCAGAACGTCTCGGGCAGCTTTCAGTTGAAGGCCTTTTCCTCAAGAGTTCTATCAGAGCTTCCGTGCTCTGATCTCAGGCTGCTCGCTTCTCAGCAGCAGTGAGGGGGGACCCAAGGTCACCCCCCACACACATTCCTTCGGCCGTCCCAGTCCAGCTTCCTGGGACACCTGAGCTTCTTAGCTCCTCTTTCAGCAGTGCTGTAGCATTTTAGGACTCCTCTCAGGTGGGAGTCCACCACCCCCTCCTCTCTATGAGAGGAGAGGTCTCCAAGGAGTTTGGGGGAATTGGTTTGCAGTCCTTACCCCAAAACTCTCTCTGTAGAACTTAGTTCTCTCTCTGCTGCTGCTCTCTTTCTCTTCAGACAACTCTGTGTCTTCTTGCTTGGCTGCAATGTCTGTCTGCTGCTCCTTATCTACCGCTGGCTCTCTGCTTCTCCTCAGTCAGTGCTGTTCTTGCTGCTGCTTTTGCTGTCCACGGTGGAGGAAAAAACTCAGCTACAGATACTTAGCCCAGTTTAGCACTGTTCCAAGTCCCTGTAGCCCCCCAACCGGGGGCTGGGGGGGCTCCTGCCCCTTCCTCGTGGCTTACCACATGGCCACCTCTTCTTCAACAACTACAACAATTCCAACTACAACCCTTCTCTTCCGGTCTAAGTGTCATATGTTTATATTTTCCAGGAGCGCTGATTGGGTCAAACCCCAAGGGTCACCACCCCCTGGGGGTTTACCATTTTATAACTCTAGGGGGAAAACTGTTTCCCCCCACCACATAGACTATTTTATCTGGAGATTTCAAATAACTGTACAAAGAGAGCCCTTCCTCTGAAAATTTTGATTATTTAAAAAAGATTATTAGATACATAGGAAAAACAACAACTCAAAGCATTGATTTTTCAAAAGGATAGCTAATCTTTCCGTAGTTAACATTAAATTTGACTTGTTCTTATGTAACATGAAGAGATTTTTCCATATTAATGTTTCAGTTAGAATCCAGCTTTATGAGATCACCCATCTTGCCTGCATGAGTGATTAGGGGATTTTTTTGCTTTGTTTCTTTTTTATTTTGCTCAATTTGCAATTCACTCTTTTTCCTGCATTTTGTGAAATACTATCTCAGGGCATCTGTGAGCTCTGAAATGTTTTTACCTTTTGCTTTTCATTCAAATCAAGGGATTTAAGTATTTGGACCAATAGGTAATTCAAATTCAATTTGTTTTATTTGTAGTAGCTCATAGGAAATAAGCCACCGTAAGTTTTAGCCCACGCTATGGACCTAGGAATTTACAAAACAAGAGAGATCACTCTTCTTTAGGTTTTTCCTATTCTCATCAAAATCAGAAACTGTTGAGAAGTGCTGTGTTCAAGTATGGCTCACTCAGCCTTATTGTGTATAATATCTGCTCATAAAATCATTTCTTGGCATCTTTGGACATCACACTTGCAGAATATATATGGGGAAAGCTGTGCTGTCTTTTGACAGCATCGTAGCCTGAAGGGTTAATACACTTTAATCTCCCCAAATCTTGCTACCAAGTCTGACTGTACATCTAAGATTACATGAAAAGAAGGTAAATCATTAGAATTAGAGGATTCTTCCAAACCACAAAGTAAACAGCTGACTTCTATGTTTACCTAACACATTTTATTGTGGATTTGTCTGTAAATCTCTGCATTTGGGAGGAAAACTCTCCTGGCCTTGTATTCGCAGAATGCTTCACTTTTGTTAATCCTGCTGTAGGATACAGTGGGCGTAAGTATAGGCTACAGATTTTAACTACCAGCTTATTGAACCCCACTCAGAAAAGACACAGATAAACAGTGGTTTCAATTTATACATGTTAGTATTCCCACAGTGGCAAATTTTAGGAAAATAAGCTTACATAGATTAGTCATTAGGCTTTCTTTTCCATGTCCTCAGATAATCTTCTAACCTGATGTTAAGGAACATGAGCTTTTCAATATACTTAATCCCTGATGGAAAATATTTTTAATCTTCTTAAAATCCTTTTCAATTAATACCAGAGGAATTCAAGTTATATTGAGGATTACATTGTGCTCATAATCATATTGGTTTTTTTTGTTTTTATTTTGAGGTGATTTTTTCTAATGAATTAAGAGAGATGGGCCAAATTTGCATGCATGAGAAATAACCAGACATAGATGAATTTGAAAACTTGCTAAAAACATTTATCTAGCTACATATAACCTTGTGTTTGGAAGTGGTATCAAGGAGTAGGCCAAAGTTGCCTATAACTTTAGTTCCAGTGTAAAAAGAAAGACTTTACAGGTTTTCCTGTTCATATATACTACCACTTTAGGTCAGAGTAAAAGCTGTTAAAAATATTGCTGGGAAACACAGTTTTGACTTTTTTCATATGAAATCAGCTTTCTTTGAAATGAGGCAAATGTGGGTACAGCTCTTTACACTCTTTCTTTGGGAGGCTGTCTAAAGATAGCAGTGTACTTCTAACACTTACTTACCATGGGAGCATCTGGTTTAGCATTTTTGTTTGGATCAAGGTGCAATTTTGAAGCAAATCTCCTGATCATCCTAACTTACCTACTTGATTCTCATCACAGAGCAGTTTCCAAGTGCAAACTGACTTCTCAGTTGAAACCAAGAGACGGGGATCTGTACTCCAATGTGCAGCTATTCTATCCATGGGACTGGACCTCTATCCCCACGCAAAATGCCTATCAGTGATATCAGGCTCTCATCACCAGTGCTCTCCCCACACAGATCCACTCCTATTAGATCGTTTGATACTTTCCCTCACATCATTGTCAGGAGCCCCCGAAAGAATTTAAATGAGTTCTTTTCTCCTGATGGTCAGGCTAGTGCATACCACCTCAGTGGTCCAGGATGCACATGATTAACCTGTTTATGACCAAAAACCAGTTAAGCAGTGCAAAATCTTTCAGGAAGTGCATGTCAGGAGGAAGATTGTATGTCTGATTAACAGGTAGAAGAACCTAAAGTCCATTCTTGGTATACTGTCCAGATTTCCTCCAAAGTCTTTAACTGCAAAGTGGATATGAATATGACTCTTGCTGACATTGGTAGCAATTTGCTTCTGAGGTGACAAGATTAGAGACCATAAGAGTAGCTTTTGAACTGGGATATTACCAGAACGCTTTCTATTCTCAGTAAGAATAATTCCTGGCTAATAGGTATCATTTAACACTAATGCTGCTTCCCCGCCAGCTGCACAGATCATGATAATCCAA